ATATACCATCGTCTTCTGGTGGCACACAGACGGTTTCACCATTTCCACCACCTACACCACCTCTGCTGCCTTCGGCAGCAGAAACTTGACCACTGCATCCATATGCACGCTACACGGTGGAAAATCTTCTCCTCCAACCGGGGCGGGCATAGTTACGTCAGTTGGATTGTCTCGACCACTGAATACATATTGGTACGTTTTTTCTTTAATTTTTAAAATATTAATTAATTAATTTGTTTTTCTTTAACAATAATTTGTTTTTTAGGTTTGGCATTCGATTAATGTGTCGGGCATAGCATGTCTGACACCATCAAGAGCTTTTTCGTCGAACCTTACTACAATTGGACTAAGGTTTCCGAAGAGGCTTTCGAGATTTGGTACAAGTGTTTTGAGATAAGATTTTTTTTTATATATTTTTTTTATAAAATCAAATGTAGTATATATATATATATATAGTTTTTTATAATTTTTTTTTGTTTGCAGCAACGATGAAATTGGGACATCACCATTAGTGAGCGGTGAAAGTTGAGTTTAGGAAGAAGGCGATGAAACAGCTCATCAACATTGTTTCAGATTGGAAGAGGAAGTGAGAGGTCGACTGCGACGATGTGAAGCCCAGTTTCATGTCTTTAGCATGTTGGAACGGGTTGAAGGCATACTGGCTCGACCTGCATGCACGGGACACAGCCGTAAAGTGTTCGGCCGTTTGTAACGCAACTGGGCCAGATAGTCAAAAGTTAGTTACACCGCAACTTCTGGCCAGACATCTTTTGCGGGAAGGCGCCTTATCATGATAAGTTTTTTTTTATTAATTATAGGTTTGAATATGTTTTTATTTATTTAATTTTATTTTAACGTTTTTGTAGGCAAACAGAGAAGAACTTCCTCCAATGTATACGGTATTCAAAGCTACGCACATGAATAAGAACTGAGCCTTTGTGGATGCTTGAGCTGAGAAGGTCTACAATGATGCGATGAAGAAGATTACTGAATGTCAAACTCAGGTCTAACCTGACGGTACGATCCAGTCCTTCCCTTTGACCGTCCTCGAGCACGATAAGATCTTTGAAGAGGTAAGATCTCTTTCTTTTTAACATTTAATTAATATTTTTTGGTTTAAATTTTTTGTTAATTGTAAAAAGTTTTAAAAAAACTTGTAGGCTGCCACGAGGAAGGATGGCCGGATTTTAGGGATGTGCTTATTCCGTGTTTGAAAAATTGGCCGAGTTGATGATTAATCGGGCGCCTAGGCGGTGGGCGGAGGAGAGCCACGGCGATTTCACTCTGATCGGTGCTGGTAGGCGGCAGAGCATTTAAAATCCACCTAGACCGAGGAATAAGAGTAATCGGCAACTTGAGGCGTTTGAAATTCTAAATCTCATTTTCTTTATGAATCTATCATAATTAGGTAAAAAAAAACAAGCATAAGTAGCCAAAACTGAGAACAAATGCTAAAAATTGAGTTTGCAGCGTGATTTAGGGTTGCAAAGATGGATATGGGAGAATGAAGAAGACAAGGGTAAATTTGTTCTTTCCTTGCTCATTAAACAAATATATATATAAAAAAAATTATCTCTCCAGCGAATCAAACTTGGGTTTTCAGAGCCCAACTAACATACCAAGGACCACTAGGCGGCATTTTTAGGCTTAGTTGACATATTTAATTTATATAGGTTTAAAACAAAGAAAACACTCAAAATTAGTACCCAATTAATCCTTGATTAATCTACAATATTTTCGGTAGGCGCTAAGCGCACCTCAACCACCTGACTAGTGCCTAGTGATATTTTGAACATTGGTTCGAACGCCTCCACTGGATGCCGGACCTACGAGGATCCGGTTCTTTTGCAGCAGGAGCTAGAGGTCGCCCACATAGAGATCTCCAATTTGCGAGCTGTGCAAGTTTCACAAAAAGAGAATATCCAGACGTTCAACAGCCTCTTCGACATCATAGAGACAAGTAACCCGGTTTTGGAGGCGGCATTGAGGGAGAAGCAAAGGCAGCATCCGGGATTCACATCAATTTCGGCTCCGCGGAATGCTACCGGTGACGGTCATACCGGTGAGGCGCAGGCAAGGGACATCGATATTATCATCGAGGATTTTGATATTAACCTAGGACTTACCCAGAACAATTAATTTTTGTAAATTATATTTTTTAAATATTTTGAATTTATTTGAAATTTAAATTATTATTAATAAATTCAAGATTTTATTTTTGTATATTATTTTCAAATTAGTTTAATGATTTTTATATTTTAATAATTAAATTATGGTTAAAGTAAAACATTTTAGTTTGGATATCGATGTATAATTGACGTAATACAACAACTAATTTACATCAAAATATTAACGGCATATTTATATCATAATATTTTACGACGATTTACCTTCAAAAGTTTACGAAGATTTTATATCAAAATCAAAAAATTGATTAAATATTTAAGTTATTATATAATAGGAATATTATTGTAAAATCGATGTAAATTTACAACTATTTACTATTAATTTAGTAATGTAGTCAATTTCATCGTAATAATAATATAATTTTTATTTCGAATTTACGACGATTTTGTTCCATCGAATATAAGATGATTCTGAATTTTCCCAAATTTTATGTTGATTTTACGATGATTCTAGTTTTACGATACTCGACTTACGACGAATTGGAATTTGTTGGTAATTCGTCGCAAAGGCTCTTTTACGTTGATTTTACATCGAATACATGCGATCTAGAAGCCATGTTTTCTTGTAGTGTCATAACTCTCACTCATCTGAAGGTCACAGTGACGGTGAAATAGCTTCTTTTGAGGAAGAAGCTCTATTCACATCAAATCTCGCTGAAGATCAGCTGAAAATCTTGAAAGCATTGCTCTTTCAGTTAGGCAGGGAAGCATATACCACAGTCCTCTCTCCCATAGAGAATCTGATTACAACATGGTATGAGTCTTACTCTCAACTTAGTAGCTTTGCTTTGTTTATCTTGTCGGTTGATTGTTTTTGCTTAGTTTAGGATGTTTAGGTTGTCTTAGTTTAGGTCTCGACTAGTGTTGTTAAGGGTTGTTGTTTTTCTTCCTTTAATTGTATAGATTGTCTTAATGAGTCTGACACAGTTGATTGCATGATTGTTTGAATACAACTTGGAGTTTAAGCTGCTGTTAGTAGCTAATGTGATATGATCTTGGATAGCATCAATAAAGAGTTGGAACCAGAAGGAGAGCCGCAAGTAGCTAAGGAGCTGAGGAGCAAAGACAAGGATCAAGGAATGAAACAAGAAGACCCTTTTCTCATTTCAAAAGGTCCCATGACCCGAGCAAGGACCAAGAGGCTCAAGGAAGCTGTTGGAGCTATACTCAAGCAAGGAGTGCTTATGGAACAAACGGAAAAAGAGATGGGTACAACTACACTAGTTGTGATCCAAGTCCGAGAAGGTTAATGGGCTTGTGAGCCAGCTATGTACTCTTTTTCCTTATCTCAAGTTTTGTCCCAATGGGTTTTCTTGAGATAGGTTTTTAATGAGGCATAGTTTGGATCACCTCACATCTAAGCCCATTCAGCCGAGCCCAAGGAAAGAAGAATAGGAGCGTGTGAAGAAGAGTTTGCATTCAAACTTGGCCAGCTTTCAAAGAACTAGTTCCTAGACGCTTTAATGCTTTGTAGACTAATCTGTTCTTCTCTTTATATTCTCTTGTAAACTCTCTTTTGAGACTATCTTATCTTTTATCAAAATCTTTTCTAAGTAAGATCAAACCCTTTCTTGATGGTGTGTTATATCCTTCAAGACCCCTTTCGATTCATCTTTGGTGTGTAATATCCTTAGTTGTTTCGGAAATCAATTCATCAAGGGACTTCTGCAACCCTTGGAGTTTTATCAATCCCACAAACCTTGAAACAACCCTTGTTTGCAAGGCTATCCTTTTAGATCCAGTTTAGTGAGTGTCGATTTCAGGGAGAATTATATTAAGTGGTATCAGAGAAAGGACTCAAGCCGCTGGATAGTCGAAAACATCAGGTTGTGTCTTACCCTTGATTTATCGATTATTTCTGTGTTTTAAAAGTTTGATCATCATCATCATTCAATCGAATCTGTTACTTGTGGATCACTGCATCAAATCGATTTAGATTCATTAAGCAAGATCAATTATCTGTGAACTAGTTGCTGTTTTACATCAAGTCGGGATAGATCTAAATGACCTTTTAACTTCTAGTTTCGGATCTGTGTTTTGCAAACCTGACTTTTCGCATTCAAACTATCGAAAATGATTTCTTGTGGAACACGAATAGTCACTTTTGTTCTGTGAAACGATCAACGACTTGTTGCTGGTGATTCTATGTTATCTGTGTTTCAGGAATGATGAGTGAGCAACAAGAAGAGTCCAGTGCTAATGGTGTTAACAAGCTATATATGGAGGCGATGTTGGCCGAAGTTAAGAAGCTTGTGTCTGTGAGTCTTGAAGAGTTTCGACAGAAATTCAAGAGCAAACTAAAACAAAGGCTAGCAAGGATAAGAGAAAGGATCTAGGGAAAGAGCTTGAGGAAGTTTTGGAGCCGACTAGACCTCTCAGAGATGATGCGGCCACAGATTATTACGGCCCCGTTAGTAGTTCCTCAAGAGACAGCCGACGAAGGCAAAGGCGACACAAGGAGGATCGAGTTCAAGAAGGTTTTGGAGGAGTTAAACTCAGGATCCATCCTTTTCACGGTAAAAACGACCCTGACGCCTACTTAGAGTGGGAGAAGAAGATGGAATTGTTGTTCAATTGCCAACAATTCGCAGGGATTAATCAAGTAAAGATAGCCACTACCGAGTTTTACGATTATGTTCTTTGTTGGTGGGATCAGGTTGTTACAACTAGAAGAAGAAATCAGCAGTTTCCGATTGATAACTGGGAGGAGATGAAATCTCTCATGAGAAAAAGGTCCACTACCATATAGAGTTGCACCAAAGACTTAGGCGGCTCACACAAGGCAACCGATCCGTTGAAGATTACTATCAAGACATGGAGACCTTGATGCTACGAGCTGATATCAGAGAAGATGCTGAAGCCACTATGTCTCGATTCTTAGGAGGGTTGAACAGAGAGATTCAAGACAAGCTAGAGATGCAGCAATATGAGGAATTAGAAGATATGTTGCACAAAGCTATCCTCATAGAACAACAACTCAAGAAAAGAAGCACCAAAACCGCTTATGGAGTTGGGACAATACCTATTAAACCGAGGTATTCTCGAGAGGAGTAGCCGAGTTCAGTATCAAAAGAAGAGAAGCCAACTGGAGTCTCTAAGGAAGAACCTAAGTCATTCACTTCAGTATCTGATAACCGCAACAAAGCTGTGGGGTCGACAAGAACCACAGACGTCAAGTGTTTCAAGTGTCTTGGGAGAGGACATTACGCCAATGAGTGTTCCAATAAGAAGATCATGATACTCAGGGATGATGGTGAATGGGAATCAACAGCTGAATCTGAAGCCGAGTCTCATTCTGATCATGAAGAGCTGCCGGCTCAAGGTTCCTTACTTGTATCAAGAAGATCTCTAAGTGTTCAAGCCAAAGCCATGGAAGAGGAGCAGAGAGAGAACCTATTTCATAGCCGATTTCTTGTGCAAGGAAAAGTTTTTAGCCTCATCATAGATGGAGGCAGCTGCACAAATGTAGCAATTCAAGAGATGGTTCGAAAGCTCAACCTAGTCACGAAGAAGCATCCTCGACCTTACAAGCTCAATTGGCTGAACAATGATAGGGAATTATAGGTCAACAGCCAAGTCATGGTTCCTATTACCATTGGAGGATATGAAGACGAGATACAGTGTGATGTGTTGTCCATGGACGCAGGACACATACTTCTAGGCAGACCATGGCAATCAGATTGAAAAGTTATACATGATAGCTTTACTAACAAGTATTCATTTGTTTTTAAAGGCAGAAATACTACCCTCATACCTTTGACACCTCAAGAAGTCTACCAGGATCAAATGCAGCTAAAGAAAAAGACAAAACCGCCTACTAAAGCGTCTAACTTCTACTTAAAGGCTGGTGATGTCAAAAGATCTCTTAACTATAATCAACCGTTTCTTTTATTTGTGTTTAAAGAGGCTCTCACCAACATGACTAACCTCACACCAGTTTTTCCGAGTAAGATTCAAACTCTTTTGCAGGAATACAATGATGTCTTCCCCGAAGATAATCCTAAAGAGTTACCTCCTTTTAGAGGCATTGAACATCAAATTGATTTCATCCTTTTACTTTATTGCCTAATCGCCCTGCGTATAGAACCAATCCGGTTGAGACAAAGGAGTTACAAAGACAAGTTGATGAACTAATGGAGAAAGGACACATTAGAGAAAGCATGAGTCCTTGTGCAGTACCGGTTCTGCTTGTGTCCAAGAAGGATGGGAGCTGGCGAATGTGAGTATATTGCAGAGCCATCAACAATATTACTGTAAAGTATCGCTACCCTATCCCTAGACTAGATTATATGTTAGATGAATTGCATGGCTCTAGCAATTTTTTCTAAAATTGATCTTAAAAGCGGATATCATCAAATTAGAATGAATGAATGAGATGAGTGGAAAACTGCATTTAAGACCAAACATGGCTTGTATGAATGGCTCGTTATGCCATTTGGTTTAACTAATGCACCTAGTACATTCATGAGATTAATGAATCATGTCCTTAGAGCATTCATAGGGATCTTTGTAGTTGTCTATTTCGATGATATCCTCGTTTATAGCAAGAATCTAGATGAGCATGTAATGCACTTGAGAACTGTTCTAGATGAGCTAAGAAAGGAAAAACTATATGCCAATCTAAAGAAATGCACCTTTGGAACAGATAACCTTGTCTTTTTAGGTTTTGTTGTAACTGCAGATGGCATTAAGGTGGATGAAGATAAATCAAGGCTATCAAAGACTGGCCAACCCCTAAAACTGTCGGTGAAGTTAGGAATTTTCATGGCCTGTCCGGATTCTATCAAAGATTTGTTCAAGATTTTAGCACCATAGCCGCCCCTCTCACAGAAGTTATCAAAAAGGATGCCCGATTTCAATGGGGAGAAGCTCAAGAAGCCGCGTTCAAAGCTTTGAAGGATAAGTTCACTAATGCCCCTCTATTATCTCTACCTGATTTCCTTAAAACTTTTGAAATAAAATGTGATGCTTCAGGTATAGGAATCGGAGCCGTGCTGATGCAGGACAAGAAACTGATTGCTTTCTTTAGTGAAAAGCTTGGAGGAGCCACCCTCAATTACCCAACCTACGACAAAGAGCTGTATGCTTTGGTCAGAGATTTACAAACATGGCAACATTACTTGTGGCCTAAGGAGTTTGGCATTCATACTGATCATGAATCCTTCAAGCATCTAAAAGGGCAGCAAAAGCTTAATAAGAGACACACAAGGTGGGTTGAGTTCATTGAGACCTTTCCTTATGTCATCAAATACAAGAAAGGTAAGGACAATGTAGTTGCTGATGCATTTTCTCGAAGGTTTCGAACAACTTAAACTTTTATATTCATCTGACTCGGATTTTCAAAACATTTATGAGTCCTGTGCCAAGTTTGCTTCGGGTTATTATCATAGACATGATACGAGCATGGACGAGGTGCGAACTGAGGGTCAGGCCGGAGAACTAGTTCAGGTCCGGAACCAAGACCAATTGGCCGACCTAAGCGAAGTGGAGGTTCAGGACGGAAAGCCAGACGAAGTGGACGACCCAAGTGCGGATTTATTCGAGCTCACTGGTCCAATAACGCGGTCTCGGGCCAAGAAGTTAGCTATGGCCGTTTGGAGGTTATGCACCGAGCTGAAGGCCAAGTTTACGGACGCTACACTAAACAACCGAGCTGTAACGCTTTTAACCTACTCGGACGGTGTAGCTCCTTAATACTCTTTTTCCTTGCATCCGGGTTTGTCCCACGGGGTTTACTGGATGGGGTTTTAATGAGGTTAAGGGGCCACATCTCTCTTATCCAAAGTTAGTTAATAGCCGTTACGAGAAGTTCAAGGATCACTCGCGAAAGGAGCTGAAGGGACATTCAACGGGACCCGAGTGGTCATTCAACTTATTTAATGCTTTCATTTAATTTTCTTGTCTTTTGCACTTCTTTTACGACTCTATATAAAGAGCCAGACTCCTTTGTATTTTGGTCATTCACTTTTCATCAATAAAATTGAGATTTTCTCTTGTTCTTTCTGAGTTTTCTTTCTTAGGTGGTTAGCCTTGAAAGTTTCTATTTGGTTTATCGAATTCAATCCATAGGATTCGACGCAGCCTTCATTTACATCTTGTTTCGATTTCGTTCAAAGTAGTTTAAGGGCAACAGGATTTTTGAGATCAAGTCTCACGCCTGTTCATCCTTTACCCGCGAGATCTACACTTGGTGTTCTCCATCCCCTCGACCAGTTTCTGTTTCTCGCGAGCTGGGCCTAAGGACCTTCGAGACAACCTCTCACCCCTTAGCATCTCTCCGATCAAACTGACTTTGGCCGAGTTTATCAACCTCTACCAAGCAATCAAGTGCAAATCCTAGGGAGATCGTATCAAGTGGTATCAGAGCCCACTTGCTTAATCGGTAGTGTTTATCTATCTCTTTAAATTCCGTCTTTGCTCATCTCATCTTCTCTATTTACGTTATTAAAAAAAAAAGATAAATTGAAAAGTCCATTTAAAAAAAAAAAAAAAAAGTTCAAAAGTCAAAAAAAAAAAAAAAAAAGGAAAACCGTATTCTGTACTACCTATCTTTCCTTATTCTTCTCCTTCCAAACATTTGATAAACCAAGGGAACCTAGAGGCAGTCATCGTGAATCGATTAACTCCTTTAGACCCGGAAGAAAATCTCTTGTGGGTTTGTGAAATTAATAAGAGAGCGAGTGAATCAAAGAGGGAAACACTAGTAAGGATTTTTACTAACAAGTTTGTTCTTTTTTGCGAGGTACGTGCATGTCATCTGACTTTTCTTTGAGCGAGTGCGATTTCTACACCTTCAAAGACGGTAACCACGTTCACTGGTATACTCCCAAAGAGATAGAGGCCAAACTCAACCAGATCACCGAAATGATGGAGCGTATGAGTCAAAGGATGGATCGGCTTGAAGTTCCGCCAAGGCAAGAGGAGGCTAACAATCAAAACCGCGAGGAGCCAATGCAACTTAAACTTTTATATTCATCTGACTCGGATTTTCAAAACATTTATGATTCCTGTGCCAAGTTTGCTTCGGGTTATTATCATAGACATGATACGAGCATGGACGAGGTGCAAACTGAGGGTCAGGCCGGAGAACTAGTTCAGGTCCGGAACCAAGACCAATTGGCCAACCTAAGCGAAGTGGAGGTTCAGGACGGAAAACCAGACGAATTGGACGACCCAAGTGCGGATTTATTCGAGCTCACTGGTCCAATAACGCGGTCCCGGGCCAAGAAGTTAGCTATGGCCGTTTGGAGGTTATGCACCGAGCTGAAGGCCAAGTTTACGGACGCTACACTAAACAACCGAGCTGTAACGCTTTTAACCTACTCGGACGGTGTAGCTCCTTGATACTATTTTTCCTTGCATTCGGGTTTGTCCCACTGGGTTTACTAGATGGGATTTTAATGAGGTTAAGGGGCCACATCTCTCTTATCCGAAATTAGTTAATAGCCGTTACGAGAAGTCCAAGGATCACTCGCGAAAGGAGCCAAAGGGACATTCAACGGGAGCCGAGTGGTCATTCAACTTATTGAATGCTTTCATTTAATTTTCTTGTCTTTTGCACTTCTTTTACGACTCTATATAAAGAGCCAGACTCCTTTGTATTTTGGTCATTCACTTTTCATCAATAAAATTGAGATTTTCTCTTGTTCTTTCTGAGTTTTCTTTCTTAGGTGGTTAGCCTTGAAAGTTTCTATTTGGTTTATCGAATTCAATCCATAGGATTCGACGCAGCCTTCATTTACATCTTGTTTCGATTTTGTTCAAAGTAGTTTAGGGGCAACAGGATTTTCGAGATCAAGTCTCACGCCTGTTCATCCTTTACCCGCGAGATCTACACTTGGTGTTCTCCATCCCCTCGACCAGTTTCTGTTTCTCGCGAGCTGGGCCTAAGGACCTTCGAGAAAACCTCTCACCCCTTAGCATCTCTCCGATCAAACTGACTTTGGCCGAGTTTATCAACCTCTACCAAGCAAACAAGTGCAAATCCTAGGGAGATCGTATCAAGTGGTATCAGAGCCCACTTGCTTAATCGGTAGTGTTTATCTATCTCTTTAAATTCCGTCTTTTCTCATCTTATCTTCTCTATTTACGTTATTAAAAAAAAAAAGATAAATTGAAAAGTCCATTTTTTTTAAAAAAAAAAAAGAAGTTCAAAAGTCAAAAAAAAAAAAAAAAAGGAAAACCGTATTCTTTTCTACCTATCTTTCCTTATTCTTCTCCTTCCAAACATTTGATAAACCAAGGGAACCTAGAGGCAGTCATCATGAATCGATTAACTCCTTTAGACCCGGAAGAAAATCTCTTGTGGATTTGTGAGATTAATAAGATAGCGAGTGAATCAAAGAGGGAAACACTAGTAAGGATTTTTACTAACAAGTTTGTTCTTTTTTGCGAGGTACGTGCATGTCATCTGACTTTTCTTTGAGCGAGTGCAATTTCTACACCTTCAAAGATGGTAACCACGTTCGCTGGTATACTCCCAAAGAGATGGAGGCCAAACTCAACCAGATCACCGAAATGATGGAGCGTATGAGTCAAAGGATGGATCGGCTTGAAGTTCAGCCAAGGCAAGAGGAGGCTAACAATCAAAACCGCGAGGAGCCAATGCAACTTAAACTTTTATATTCATCTGACTCGGATTTTCAAAACATTTATGAGTCATGTGCCAAGTTTGCTTCGGGTTATTATCATAGACATGATACGAGCATGGACGAGGTGCGAACTGAGGGTCAGGCCGGAGAACTAGTTCAGGTCCGGAACCAAGACCAATTGGCCGACCTAAGCGAAGTGGAGGTTCAGGACGGAAAGCCAGACGAAGTGGACGACCCAAGTGCGGATTTAATCGAGCTCACTGGTCCAATAACGCGGTCCCGGGCCAAGACGTTAGCTATGGCCGTTTGGAGGTTATGCACCGAGCTGAAGGCCAAGTTTACGGACGCTACACTAAACAACCGAGCTGTAACGCTTTTAACCTACTCGGACGGTGTAGCTCCTTGATACTCTTTTTCCTTGCATCCGGGTTTGTCCCACTGGGTTTACTGGATGGGATTTTAATGAGGTTAAGGGGCCACATCTCTCTTATCCGAAGTTAGTTAATAGCCGTTACGAGAAGTCCAAGGATCACTCGCGAAAGGAGCCAAAGGGACATTCAACGGGAGCCGAGTGGTCATTCAACTTATTTAATGCTTTCATTTAATTTTCTTGTCTTTTGCACTTCTTTTACGACTCTATATAAAGAGCCAGACTCCTTTGTATTTTGGTCATTCACTTTTCATCAATAAAATTGAGATTTTCTCTTGTTCTTTCTGAGTTTTCTTTCTTAGGTGGTTAGCCTTGAAAGTTTCTATTTGGTTTATTGAATTCAATCCATAGGATTCGACGCAGCCTTCATTTACATCTTGTTTCGATATCGTTCAAAGTAGTTTAGGGGCAACAGGATTTTCGAGATCAAGTTTCACGCCTGTTCATCCTTTACCCGCGAGATCTACACTTGGTGTTCTCCATCCCCTCAACCAGTTTCTGTTTCTCGCGAGCTGGGCCTAAGGACCTTCGAAACAACCTCTCACCCCTTAGCATCTCTCCGATCAAACTGACTTTGGCCGAGTTTATCAACCTCTACCAAGCAAACAAGTGCAAATCCTAGGGAGATCGTATCAAGGGGTATCAGAGCCCACTTGCTTAATCGGTAGTGTTTATCTATCTCTTTAAATTCCGTCTTTTCTCATCTCATCTTCTCTATTTACGTTATTAAAAAAAAAAAAGATAAATTGAAAAGTCCATTTTTTTTTACAAAAAAAAAGAAGTTCAAAAGTCAAAAAAAAAAAAAAGGAAAACCGTATTCTTTCCTACCTATCTTTCCTTATTCTTCTCCTTCCAAACATTTGATAAACCAAGGGAACCTAGAGGCAGTCATCGTGAATCGATTAACTCCTTTAGAACCGGAAGAAAATCTCTTGTGGGTTTGTGAGATTAATAAGAGAGCGAGTGAATCAAAGAGGGAAACACTAGTAAGGATTTTTACTAACAAGTTTGTTCTTTTTTGCGAGGTACGTGCATGTCATCTGACTTTTCTTTGAGCGAGTGCAATTTCTACACCTTCAAAGACGGTAACCACGTTCGCTGGTATACTCCCAAAGAGATGGAGGCCAAACTCAACCAGATCACCGAAATGATGGAGCGTATGAGTCAAAGGATGGATCGGCTTGAAGTTCAGCCAAGGCAAGAGGAGGCTAACAATCAAAACCGCGAGGAGCCAATGCAACTTAAACTTTTATATTCATCTGACTCGGATTTTCAAAACATTTATGAGTCCTGTGCCAAGTTTGCTTCGGGTTATTATCATAGACATGATACGAGCATGGACGAGGTGCGAACTGAGAGTCAGGCCGGAGAACTAGTTCAGGTCCGGAACCACGACCAATTGGCCGACCTAAGCGAAGTGGAGGTTCAGGACGGAAAGCCAGACGAAGTGGACAACCCAAGTGCGGATTTATTCGAGCTCACTGGTCCAATAACGCGGTCCCGGGCCAAGACGTTAGCTATGGCCGTTTGGAGATTATGCACCGAGCTGAAGGCCAAGTTTACGGACGCTACACTAAACAACCGAGCTGTAACGCTTTTAACCTACTCGGACGGTGTAGCTCCTTGATACTCTTTTTCCTTGCATCCGGGTTTGTCCCACTGGGTTTACTGGA